GGCATTTGCCCGTTCTTTTGGAAATGTCCGTACAGGGGGAGAGAGAGGGTTAATAGGTAGACCAATAGAAAAGCCCAGAGGTGGAGCCTACCTGTTTTTTAAAAGGCTTAGCCAGAGGTTTACACAGCTGGGAAAGCAGTTGGAAGACAGATGGAAATAGAGAGACAGTGCAGTTGGTTCTTGTGTGAGGGGAGGTAGAAGAGTAAGAGTGAGTTAGAGACAGGATAAAATAAGACTAAGAGGGTAAAGGGTAACAGCGTTTCGAATGCATTTAAAGTTTAGTTGTGTTTGAAATAAACTACAATCTACGTTGTTAACTTGAGAACCCGACTGAAACTAAATGTTTTACCGGGGAGAACCTGGTTGGTGGCAGCAGATTAATGGTGTACGGGTCAATAGTCCGTGAAACAACCGGGGGCTCTGTACAAATGCCACAATGGAGAATGGCAAAAATTCAGGAATCAGTAGCAGATGGTGGGGTAGGATGACAGCACTTACCTAACCTCCTAGCAGTGGAGTCTCTGCTGCTTACCAGAGGGAAGTGAGAGGGGTAAGGTGGTGGTGACATTGATGCTGTGGAAACGCACCAGCAGGAACACTCTGCCTGCACAATTGCACTGCACTGACCTTCCTGCTGCCTTGCTCCTTCCACTCTACCTCTCAGTAAGAAGCAGGGACTCTGCTGCCGGGAAGTCAGGTAAGCACCGTTGTCCCACCAACCACTACAGCAGAGAGCCTTTCAGCAGTTGTGTTGGAAACGCAAAACCTCCACTTGCGGAAGCGAGACCAACAAAAGATGACATTCCACCTGCATTGTGCGTCTCATTCAACAAAGGCCAGCACAGTAGTCACGAGAGATATAATCAAACAAGAGTACAATGAGGGCACCCGACCAGGCACCTATAAAACGTCTTGCCAAGGCAGAGAATGGGTTCATTTACTGACTTCCTTCTCCCTGCCCTTTATCACACATGCCATGCTGGGAGAGATGGATGGATGTTCTCTCGCCGGACATTTCCGGGCACTCCGCCATTCTAGTCCCAACAAACACTTCCCCAGATGGACACAAGCCTTATGACTCTGAATTTAAGAGCCAGCGCTGCCCAGCTTATACCCACGACCCCTCTCAAAGCATGCCACTACTGGAGAGGCTGCAAAGCCAGGTAGGCATACTTTGAACATGGCCAGCATCTACAGCATCAGGTTCAGAGGTCAGCTTGGTGGAAGGCCTACTGGGTGGATCTGATTATTCCTGAACTCCTTTTGTTTTTCATGTTCTGGCAGAATTAGTTGGACCACGACTCCTGTCATTGCTGGTCATTGGCCTTGCTGGCTGAGGCTGATGGGACTTGGGAGGGCATGATGTTGGCTGTCCCTATGGATTTCACTGGAGTACCTTTGCACCAGCTGCTTCTCCCCAACTGGCTTTTCTCTGAATTGCTTCTAGTCCTAATATGGAAAAGGAGGTGTCAGGGATGAGCCAGCTCCTAGTGAAACTCTACAGCCTGCTGCAGAACAGAGAGAGTTAGATCTGCAGCAGGCTGAACAGTGGCCAGTGCAGCTCCCATGGGCACTGGAATGCCGATTGCCAAGGGAATGACTGAGAGTGGGCTGGAACACAGCCAAAGCTCTCTGGAAGATCGGTTAGGCGCAAACAGGCAAGAAGATAGTTTGTTGGAACAGGAAGAGGTTTGAGCAAGCCAATCAGCCCCAAAAGCTGGCGAATGGGAGGGTTGTTAGATTGGAAGCAAAACAAGAGACGTAAAAGTCGTAAGTTCAATATTTTCTGTAGATCCTGGAAGGACTCTTCAGAAGGGACATCTTGAGTAACGATGCCAGAGGCTTGTTAGAGTCATCTGCAGCTATCTGTTGTTGTTTTTTTGCAATAAATCCTCCTTTTTAATTAGCTACGCTTACTGTGTTATCAAGCTGGGAACCTGGACTCCTGACAGGAGGAGCACATAACTTGGGAGATATTCATGATCACAGTGGCAAGTCCTATGTATTGTCACTTTTGTTCCTGGCAGGGTCTGAACACCGCAATGGAAATGGAAGCCGCCGGAGAAAAGTCTAGCAAAATGCAACCCCAGACGGGGAAAATCTGCAGAGCCCTGAGCTACATCACGGGGGACATGAAGGCGTTGGGAGAGTGGCTGAAAGGTAAGCACATAGCAGATGATGCACCGATGAGAACCAGAATGATGCAACATTGCTTTTGGACCTGGAGACCTTTGCTTGAGTGCCTGCTCATCTTCAAAGCTTCTCCTGTACCAACAGCACAATCCTGGGAAGCCTGTTGTCTTCCAGGTGATGATGGACTACAACTTTCATTATCTCTCACCACTGGGGCTCAGGACACGTTTCCTGAGTCCAAGAAGAACATAATATGGAGGGTGCCTGCTGGATTAGACCAATGGTCCATTCTAGTCCAGTGTTGCAGTCTAGGTGGTTCCATCAAACCATGAAGCTCAGTTCACTAGTTTTGCAGAGGAAGCAGTGGGTGGGAACAGGAAGTAAGGCAGCAGAGCTCAGCGGCCAGGAGCCTCAGGTTCAAAACACCCCTGGTCACTCTGCACTGAGGGCCTCCCCAAATCCTGGAGCCTGTCCTTCAAGGTCTGGTCCTGTCCTCTCTTTTACCCCAGGAACATATCACAATATGTTTATTCCTAAGTTTCCTTTGTCTGAGATCCACTCCGCCACCCTGCTCCCAGACCATCAGTTTATCTTGCCCAAATTCCAACACGAAGTTTTAAGTTATACACATGGAGCGGGTGTGTCGCAATCCCAGCACAAGCTGGCAGGGACACACTCACGCCATCTGCCATTTTAGATGTAAGCAACATAAATAAATTGTTGGTTTTTTATCTCCAGCATGAACTCTGGCAGCAGTTCACGCGCTGCTCAGTCAACTCCCCAATTGCAAAACGGTGTGGTTTATTTTATTTTATTATAAACAATAATAAACGTGTGTCATATTTTACAACTCTGTCAGTGGAAAGGGCCCTACCAGATGCTGCTGAGAATATGCACGTTGGAATCTGTCCCAGACCATAAACTTTCAAACGACGGTAACTAAGACCTACTGGAGTGAGCTAAAATGTGACAATTTGCACCCCAAAATCTGCCTCTATGTGCATTTTGACAGTGCATGGTCAGTGAGTGTTTAAATACTTGCCCAATGCTTGCTAAGTATTCAGGATCCAGTGAGTGCACCTAATAATGATAATTTTACTATTTATACACCACACATCGTACTGGGCTGCCCCAACCACCCTGGGCAGCTTCCAACACATATAAAAAAATAATGAAACATTAAACATAAGAAACTCCTTCCCTATACAGGATTGCCTTCATACGGCTCAGGGGTCAGATAACTTCATACCCGCCAACATTTCTCCAATGAAAATAGGGACATCCTAAGGAAAAGTGGGACATTCCGGGATCAAATAAAAAACCGGGACTGCTTCTGTAAATCCGGGACTGTCCCTGGAAAATAGGAAAACTTTTAGGGTCTGAGGGTCTTCTTGTTCTTTGTTGTTGTTGTTTAGTCGTTTAGTCGTGTCCGACTCTTCGTGACCCCATGGACCAGAGCACGCCAGGCACTTCTGTCTTCCACTGTCTCCCGCAGTTTGGTCAGACTCATGTTTGTAGCTTCGAGAACACTGTCCAACCATCTCGTCCTCTGTCGTCCCCTTCTCCTTATGCCCTCAGTCTTTCCCAACATCAGGGTCTTTTCCAGGGAGCCTTCTCTTCTCATGAGGTGGCCAAAGTATTGGAGCCTCAGCTTCACGATCTGTCCTTCCAGTGAGCACTCAGGGCTGATTTCCTTAAGAATGGATGCGTTTGATCTTCTTGCAGTCCATGGGACTCTCAAGAGTCTCCTCCAGCACCATAATTCAAAAGCATCGATTCTTCGGTGATCAGCCTTCTTTATGGTCCAGCTCTCACTTCCATACATCACTACCGGGAAAACCATGGCTTTAACTATACGGACCTTCTTGTTCTAGGGCCCTGTTGAGATACATCTGGCTGGCCACTGCGAGAACAAGAGGCTGGAGTAGATGGGCCCTTGGCCTGATCCAGCAAAGGCTCTTCTTATCTTCTTCTGCCTCTCCCTTTGGACCCCTCCCTTGTCATCTTGTGTGTGAGCCTTTAGTCATGTTTTCAGGCACCATCTGTTTTTTTGCACTTAGGTGCTCCAATGACGACATTCTCTTATATATATATATATATATATACATTTTATTGGTTTTTTACATATCATTTCCAACATTCATTTAACATAGCTTCTTATTTTATACAATATTTTAGACTTCCGTCAACACCTCTGATGATTTTCCATTCTTTATCACTTATTCTGCATTTCTTAATTTCTCTATTACTCTTAATTATCATTAACCAATAATTCTCCTCATAGTCTTTCTTGCAATATTTCAAATAGTCCTCCTTACAGAACTTCTTGCAGTCCTGCTAGCGTAATCTGTTCATTACAATTGCTTTTCAAATAGTTCATATATTTACTCCAGTCTTCTGAGAATCTCTGGTCCCGCAGGTTTTGACTTCTCCCTGTTAATTTATCCAATTCTACATAGTCCATCAGTTTCATCCGCCATTCTTCTTTCATCGGTAATTCTTCTTGCTTCCATTTTTGTGCCAATAATATTCTTGCTGTCATCACTGCATATAAAGAACAACTTACAATCCTGTCTGTTAATATCATCTCCTACAATACCAAGTAAAAATGCTTCTGGTTTCTTAATAAATGTATATTTCAACATTTTTTTCATCTCATTATATATCATTTCCCAGTTTTTCACTTTTTTACATTCCCACCACATGTGATAGAAAGTTCCTTCCTTTTCTTTACATTTCCAACATTTATTACTTGTTTTATACATTTTAGCTAATTCCACAGGGGTAATATACCACCTATACATCATTTTCATCACATTTTCTTTCAAAGCATTGCATGCAGTAAATTTTAATCCTTCTTTCCACAGTTTTCCCCAGTCTTTTAACTGTATACTATACCCAAAATCTTTGCCCCAATGGGGACATTCTCTTTCAGATAAGCCTCTGGTGTTTCAGTTTGTCGACTGGGTTCTGCGTGGCATCTCTCAGGTGATGTTTGTCAGCAACCCGCTGAGTGGTCTGCTCATGTTAGCTGGATTCCTCGTCCAGAGCCCTTGGATCACACTGACATGTTGCACTGGAGTCATTGTCTCAACATTAACAGCACTGATCCTGTGCCAAGAGAGGTAGGTTTGCCCCTGAATTATTCTTTCATGCCTCAAATCCCTCTTTTCTTGTTTTACATGCTTAAATATACATATCTTTAGGCACCAGGCAAAAGCATTCCTCTTCTCACAAGCCTTTGGTCAATTAAATAATCTGTGGCCTCTTAAACTGGGGGTGTTTTGTTTTTATTTGTTATTATAGTGTGTGTGTGTGTGTGTGTGTTTATGTTTTTATGTTGTAAACAGTCCTGTGATCCTCGGATGAAGGGCGATATAGAAATTTAAATTTGTTGTTGTTGTTGTTGTTGTTGTTAGGCTACTGGGCTTATTGACAACTCCACAAATATCCTATGTTCTGCAATACATTAGACTGAAATTTCGGACACAGAAAGCTGAAGTTCTGTGAGCAGAATTATACTGTTCAGCGGAGGGGAATGTTATGTACTGAGCTTGGTCCTGCCAACTTAGCAGTTCGAAAGCACGTCAAAATGCATGTAGATAAATAGGTACCGCTCTGGCGGGAAGGTAAACGGCGTTTCCATGCACTGCTCTGGTTCGCCAGAAGTGGCTTAGTCATGCTAGCCACATGACCCGGAAGCTGTACGCCAGCTCCCTCGGCCAGTAAAGCAAGATGAGCACTGCAACCCCAGAGTCGTCCACGACTGGACCTAATGGTCAGGGGTCCCTTTACCTTTTTACTGAGCATGGATTCTAGAACAATAGGCAGGTAGGGTCCTAGAAGGCAGCAACCTGATTGGTCTGCAGGAGCCGCCCAATTCGGCTCCAGGAGGAATACCAATCAGGCTCCAGGAGGGGAGTTGAATCAGCCAATCACACGTTGTTTAAATAATGTATATATAGCCAGAGGTTTTGAGGGAAAACACACTCACTCACTGTTGACCATGAGCTGAAATAAAGAGCATGAAATCAACACTCAACTCTGAGTATATTTCAGGGGATGTGGTCAGGAATCATCCCTTCCTTGCCAGCAACCCACAGAGACCCTCAACCATTAGGCAAGGGCAGTCATTGTCCATTATCACTCTTGGTCACAGCCTGGGGCAGAGGCAAATATCTTCTGCAGTCATCAAGACTGCTCCTCAGACCCTCAGCTTCAGCAGCGACTGCGGATGAGGATACAGTTGTAAGCATTTCTGACCTCTTTTGCTCCTCGCGCAGGTCAGCCATTGCTGCGGGACTCTACGGCTACAATGGCGTGCTGGTAGGAATGCTCATGGCTGTGTTTTCCGACAAGGGCGAATATTACTGGTGGCTTTTGCTTCCTGTTGCTCTCATGTCCATGACGTGGTAAGTATTTTGGGTTCCAAGTGTGCATTTTGTGTGTGTGTGTGCTTCTCCACTTTGCCCCCTGTCCACTTTGTTCTCCTCTCACCGTCAGGCCATAAGGTGCATTTATATTATACAACAAAGGTAGCCAACCTGGTGCCCTACAGATATAGCTGGATCACAATTCCTTTCAGCACTAAGCATGGACCATGTTAGCTGTAGCTGATGGGTGCTGGAATCCAATATCTGGATTGGCAGCATGTTGGTGGGGGAGATTGGTCTTCCTTCCTTCCTTCCTTCCTGGAACCATAGAAGCAAGCGATCATACCCCCCATCAGGGTCTCAATCCAGATTCTCCCCACCTCCTAATGTATACATGATCAACTAAATATCTGGCCTTTCGGGACATCTTCAGGAAAAGAAAATACAGTGGTATCTTGGGTTATAGACACTTCAGGTTATGCGTTTTCGGGTTGTGCACCGCGCCGAACCCAGAAGTACTGGAATGGGTTACTTCCGGGTTTCAGCACTCGCGTATGCACAGAAGCACTAAATCGCGCTTTGCACATGTGCAGAAGCGCCAAATTGTGACCCGCACGTGTGCAGAAGCAGTACTGCGGGTTGCGAATGAGTCTCCCGCACGGATAATATTCTTTTTTTATATATATAAATATTCATTGGTTTTTTCAGAAATTAATATAACATAAAAATCACAAAATTACAAAAAATCGCAAAAAAGTACATAAAAAGACAAAAATGCATACCAAAAAAAAGACACAAAACCACATGTATAATTTCCTTCCCTTATGTTTCTGAAACTTACTTTCCCGACCTCCTCATACCCCCCCCTTACTGCATTCTACTCTCTGATCAATTCTCTTCAACAAATCCTTCCCCTAGTTTCTATTAAAATCTTTGACCTTTCTTTTCATATTTGCATAATCATTACAGCAAACAACCACTTAATTTCAGAATCAACATCGTCCTAACATTCAACCCGCACGGATAATATTCGCAACTCGAGGTTCCACTGTACTAAGGAGTAAACCCTACACAAATCCATAGTGGATTCCCTAAAACTGTTGGGTGGCTCCTTGCATGCCTCCATCTTCAACTCCTGCAGCTAGACTGGCACCAAACATCTTGCTCTGCTTTCTTTTGGTCCACATCCGTGAGGCTGAGAGAAGGGTCTTGTTGTCTGGGCATCCCAGGACACACACTGCCCAGGCTCACGCCGTGGGGAGGTCATGTTGATGCTGCTAATGCAGTAAAAAAAACATTGCAGGAGGTAGCAGTTGTGAATTCCTGTCTTTGCAATCACAGCAAGTGCTGCAGTTCTCCCGCGGTTTGACTCCCCCCCCCCCCCGAGGCACACACACATTATCTCTTGAGACAGAGGGATGCCAAAAAGAACCGGCTCCTTTAAGAGAAGCAACCATGACCCAGAAGGCTAACTCCTGAACTTTTGTTATACCATTAATTAAGTTTGCAATGGGTTTTTGCATAAACAGGAGATGACAATGCACTCATGCTGATATTTGGTGTGGGTTTCTTTTAAAAAACAAAATCCTTCACCTAAAGGCACACATGCAGAGCTAATGTATTATGTGGTTTCATCCTAAGTGGGTAATTGAGTCTGGGTTTTACAGGCCTTGTCCAATATTCTAACTAAAGTGGTGCCTCTGTTTACAAACTTAAACAATTCCAGAAGTCTGTTCTTAAACCAAAACTGTTCTTAAACCAAGGCACGCTTTCCCTGATGAGGCCTTCCGCCACCGGTGCCCATTCGGATTCTGTTCTTAGACCGAGGTAAAGTTCTCAAACCGGGACACTATTTCCGGTTTTGTGGAGTTTGTAAACAGAATCGTTCTTAAACCGGACTGTTCTTAAACTGAGGTACCACTGTACTTCACTACACCCCAAGTGCCTGCTAAACCAGAAATTACCTCAAATTTCTTTTTGTTTTTTTTTCTTTTGTGATTTTTCATTGACATAGTTCATAGAATCATAGAATCATAGAGTTGGAAGAGACCACAAGGGCCATCGAGTCCAACCCCCTGCCAAGCAGGAAACACCATCAGAGCACTCCTGACATATGGTTGTCAAGCCTCTGCTTAAAGACCTCCAAAGAAGGAGACTCCACCACACTCCTTGGCAGCAAATTCCACTGTCGAACAGCTCTTACTGTCAGGAAGTTCTTCCTAATGTTTAGGTGGAATCTTCTTTCTTGTAGTTTGGATCCATTGCTCCGTGTCCGCTTCTCTGGAGCAGCAGAAAACAGCCTTTCTCCCTCCTCTATGTGACATCCTTTTATATATTTGAACATGGCTATCATATCACCCCTTAACCTCCTCTTCTCCAGGCTAAACATGCCCAGCTCCCTTAGCCGTTCCTCATAAGGCATCGTTTCCAGGCCTTTGACCATTTTGGTTGCCCTCCTCTGGACACGTTCCAGTTTGTCAGTGTCCTTCTTGAACTGTGGTGCCCAGAACTGGACACAGTACTCCAGGTGAGGTCTGACCAGAGCAGAATACAGTGGCACTATTACTTCCCTTGATCTAGATGCTATACTCCTATTGATGAGGCCCAGAATTGCATTGGCTTTTTTAGCTGCCGCGTCACTCTGTTGGCTCATGTCAAGTTTGTGGTCAACCAAGACTCCTAGATCCTTTTCACATGTACTGCTCTCAAGCCAGGTGTCACCCATCTTGTATTTGTGCCTCTCATTTTTTTTGCCCAAGTGCAATACTTTACATTTCTCCCTGTTAAAATTCATCTTGTTTGTTTTGGCCCAGTTCTCTAATCTGTCAAGGTCGTTTTGAAGTGTGATCCTGTCCTCTGGGGTGTTAGCCACCCCTCCCAGTTTGGTGTCATCTGCAAATTTGATCAGGATGCCCTTGAGTCCATCATCCAAGTCGTTGATAAAGATGTTGAATAAGACCGGGCCCAAGACAGAACCCTGTGGCACCCCACTAGTCACTCTTCTTAGTGGGAGTTCTACCAACTCCCACTAACTGGTTCCTTTATTTCCATTCATTTTGAAAACATTTCACCTCCCTTCATATAAAATGAACACTGAACCGAAACAAGTTTATCGCATGAGATTCATTCAACAGGAAGGTTACATTCCATGCTGTGTATTGTGTATTGTGTATCACTTTGAGAAATATGAGCCAGTAATGCCAAAACAAAACAAAACAAAAATGCCAAAGTGATAAAACTTCTCCCTTTGGCTCTGAGGACTGGGGTCACTTGCAAAAAAAACCCAGTTACTGAGCATGCTTTCCAATCTGTTTCCAAAAGGGGAGCACTTTTGCTCTCTGCTGAGCACTCATTCTGATCTGTTTGTGGGGAGACTCAACAAAGGGCTCATCCACACCAAATTTCCTCCTCACTTTCTAGTTCATGCTTTTCCAATCCGTGTGCAAGCAATTTTTTCTTCCCTGCCACTTTCCCTGCAAAACCCACTCTTTTAGATGCAGATAGTGTATGGATAAGAGACGTGGGTGGTGCTGTGGTCTAAACCACTGAGCCTCTTGGGTTTGCTGATCAGAAGGTCATGGTTCAAATCCCCGGGACGGGGTGAGCTCCAGGTGCTCTGTCTCAGCTCCTGCCAACCTAGCAGTTCGAAAGCATGCCAGTGCAAGTAGATAAATAGGTACCTCTGCAGCAGGAAGGTAAGTGGCATTTCCGTGCACTCTGGTTTCCGTCATGGTGTCCCATTGCACCAGAAGCAGTTTAGTCATTCTGGCCACATGACCCGCAGCAATGTTTGGAATCCATTCATAAAAGGCGTTATGTCTTGTTAATAATAATTTTACATTTATTGGATTAATTGCATCACTTATATACTCTATTGTGTACTCTAGTCTATTGTACAGTGGTACCTCGGGTTAAGTACTTAATTCATTCCGGAGGTCCATTCTTAACCTGAAACTGTTCTTAACCTGAAGCACCACTTTAGCTAATAGGGCCTCCTGCTGCTGCCGCGCCGCCGGAGCATGATTTCTGTTCTCATCCTGAAGCAAAGTTCTTAACCTGAGGTACTATTTCTGGGTTAGCGGAGTCTGTAACCTGACTCGTCTGTAACCTGAAGCGGTACCACTGTATTGGCTATTTTCCCTCTTTCTTTCTTTTCATATTATTCACATCATTCATATTTCTTTTCTTTCATTGAAGATTTTTCACTGAAAACTTTTATACACACACACACACACACACACACACACTTTAACGTTCTTGCCAACCCGCAGAAAACCCTAATTGCCCTTTGCTCCGATTCAGTGTTAAAGAGCAGGTTTCCTATGGAAAGCTGTGGGGCAAAAAAAAGGGGGGGCTCAGAAATGGACTGGGGAAATGCAAACATATGCCTAGAAAGCATGGGGGGTAGGTAAAGGGGAGGGGCCCTCAAAGTTGCATCAAGCAACTGTCAACCTTCACTTTCCAGCACATTTTTCTAATCGCTTTCCTTATCACAAAACAGTCCAATTTGGATGGGGAAGCGGGTTTGTTTCGCAAGATGTCCTAAACAACTTTCATTGTGCAACCCACATTTGTGGTTGAATTCCACCAGAAAATAGCTACAGTTTGGAAGCCTGCTGGGGCTTCTGAAGCAGCAGCAGCAAGCTGGGTAGAATTTTGTTCGCAATTTCTCCAGGCTTTCTGTAAAAATATAAAAAAATAAACAGAAACCAATTCCCCCTCCCAATATGATTACAGTGGTACCTCAGGTTACAGACGCTTCAGGTTACAGACTCCGCTAACCCAGAAATAGTACCTTGGGTTAAGAACTTTGCTTCAGGATGAGAACAGAAATCACGCGTCGGCGGTGCAGCAGCAGGGGGAGGCCCCATTAGCTAAAGTGGTACCTCAGGTTAAGAACAGTTTCAGGTTAAGAACGGACCTCCAGAATGAATTAAGTTCTTAACCCGAGGTACCACTGTTGTTGTTGTTGTTGTTTAGTCATTTAGTCGTGTCCGACTCTTCATGACCCCATGGACCAGAGCACACCAGGCACTTCTGTCTTCCACTGCCTCCCGCAGTTTGGTCAGACTCATGTTTGTAGCTTCGAAGGCACTATCCAACCATCTCGTCCTCTGTCGTCCCCTTCTCCTTGTGCCTTCCACCTTTCCCAACATCAGGGTCTTTTCCAGGGAGTCTTCTCTTCTCATGAGGTGGCCAAAGTATTGGAGTCTCAGCTTCACGATCTGTCCTTCCAGTGAGCACTCAGGGCTGATTTCCTTAAGAATGGATAGGTTTGTTCTTCTTGCAGTCCATGGGACTCTCAAGAGTCTCCTCCAGCACCATAATTCAAAAGCATCAATTCTTCGGCAATCAGCCTTCTTAATGGTCCAGCTCTCACTTCCATACATCACTACTGGGAAAACCATAGCTTTTACTATACGGACCTTTGCTGGCAAGGTACCACTGTATTAGACATTTAAATGTTTTCTGGTTTCGTGCTTTCCCATGCTTAAAGAACTGTGTACACATTGGGTGTGAGCCAAAGCTCCTCAAGGCTCCTATTTGCAAAAGCAACTCTGTGCACACAGGGAGCTGCCCCATTTTCCTTTGAGTAGGGATGGGAGAGAAATTCAATTCAGTTTACATACAAAGGCAAATCTGCCTGATTCACACGTTCCGGGGGGGGGGGGGATATGCAGGTTGACACAGAGCCATCCGGCAAAATTTGTGCTCCCCTGAATGTTGCAATGCAGATCTGCAGCCAACTTTTTGCTGGCATCCATCTGTCTCGGGAGACAATGGAAGAGTGTGCCTTTGGGGTTGAAGTCAAACTGTTGGAGAGTTGCAGCGCCTGCTGTGGCTGTAGAGACTGAGATGGGAGAGACATGTTTTGTTGCAGCTGGGGCAGATGAAGGAGTCCGGTTGTGCTGTTTCAGATGCACCAGGGCATTTCAGCTCTCTGTGCTCCTCCCAGCGGTCGTTCCTCCTCTGGTCACAGCTATGGATGTATGACTTGACTGCTTTTCTCCAGGCACTGCGGTCAAGGCACTGTGATTCTCACGTGGCTGGGTTGATGTTGTCAGCCTCTATGTCATGTTTGCAGACATCTTTGCAACGCAAGAGTTGGTCTGCCAATGGGCCTGGTGCAAATCCATATACTACCCTAAAACATGCTTTAAAATGCATATTCAGTGGTACCTTGGTTCTCAAACACCTTGCCTCCCGAATAAAATGGCTCCCAAATGCCACAAACCTGGAAGTAAGTGTTCCGGTATGCGAACGTTTTTCAGAAGCTGAACGTCCAACATGACTTCTGCTTGAGTGCAGGAAGCTCTTGCAGCTAATCGGAAGCTACACTTTGGTTTTCGAACGGTTTCGGGAGTCGAACAGAGTCCTGGAACAGATAATAATAATAATAATAATAATAATAATAATAATAATAATAATAATTTATTTATACCCTGCCCATCTGGCTGGGTTTCCCCAGCCACTCTGGGCGGCTTCCAACATAATATTAAAATACAATAGTCTATTAAACATTAAAAGTTTCCCTAAAGCTTGAGAACCAAGGTACCGCTGTAATAATGAAAGTAACATTAAAAAGGCATTATATTCGTGGAAGCTGCTTTGCAGAAACATGTACAGTGGTACCTCTGGTTGCAAACTGGATCCGTTCTGGAGGCCCGTTTGCAACATGAAAAGAGCACAACCTGCAGCGGCATGTCTGCGCACGCGCGGGTTGCGATTCGCCGCTTCTGCGCATGCGCATGACGTCATTTTGTGCGTCAGCGCATGTGTGAGCCGCGGAACCCGGAAGTAACCCTTTCCGGTACTTCCGGGTCGCCGCGGGACATAACCCAAAAGAACGTAACATGAAGCGGACGTAACATGAGGTATGACTGCATGCAAAAAATTGCATGGGACATCCCGTTGTGCAAGTGCAAATCACTGCTGGCAGGACCTCTTAGCTGAATCTCACGCAATACAGTGGTACTTCGGGTTAAGTACTTAATTCATTTCCGGATGTCCGTACTTAACCTGAAACTGTTCTTAACCTGAAGCACCACTTTAGCTAATGGGGCCTCCTGCTGCTGCCGTGCCGCCGGAGCACGATTTCTGTTCTCATCCTGAAGCAAAGTTCTTAACCCGAGGTACTATTTCTTGGTTAGCGGAGTCTGTAACCTGAAGCATATGTAGCCTGAAGCATATGTAACCCGAGGTACCACTGTATTACTAACTGTGCATCTATACATATAAGTTAGGGTAAGCACATTTTAACGCAAAACTGTGGCCCCCCTAGCTCTGTTGTGTTTCCTCTCTGTGTACAGTCATGCTCTTTTGTTTTTCTTTTCTAGTCCTATTTTCACGAGTGCCTTGGCCTCCGTCTTCAGCAAATGGGACCTGCCGGTTTTCACGCTGCCCTTCAACCTGGCTCTGAGCATGTTCGTGGCTGCCACTGGCCCCCACAACCCCTTCTTCCCCTCGACGCTCATTCAACCCGTGGCCTCGGTGCCCAACATAACGTGGTGGGAGGCCGAAGCATCTTTGGTAAGGGCCATTTCAAATGCTCGCATCTCTCAACCAAGGGAATTCATACGGAGGGGAGGCAGGCCCTCTGAATGAGGGAACAGGGGGTGGAAACAAACCACTTTCAGACAAAGGATTGCGGGGCCCGATTCCTGCATCTATTACCCTTTACATTCTGGTTGCTCCTATACTGGGCTGAGCACAATGGGATTCTGCACGAAGGGACAAGACAATTGCAAAACATCAAGCTGAGAACAAACCTTGAGTCATGGACACTGGACAATGAATCCAGTGAAAATTATTCTCTATTTTTTTTAAAAAAAAATAGTGGGTGGAACTATGTGATTAACAGGTAATAGACAGTCTTTTAAGAAAGCACCATAACTCAATAAATAATCAATGTATAACAACTGTACTGGAGGTAAAAATTTGACCCAAACACATTTCGACTTTGATGCCTTCCTCGTCAGCCCTAGTTGGGTGCATGTATATAAATAAGCATCAAATATCAAATACAGTTTTTAATATGTTGATTACACGACTCGAGGTTTCATCCTGGCTTGTGGTTTCACAGTGCTTCTATACTGAGGCCCAAGTACGTAAAAGATTGCCTCCCCAATATCAACCGTCTCAGGCCCTATAGCTCTGAGGGTGGTGATATTATGGTGGGTTGCCTAAATGGTGCTACTTAGTAGCGGTCCTGTGCTTCTGCAATCTCTGGTGGTGTCCATCTGCTCCCCCCCTTGCTCTTAATATTTCAGTAGCTTTTTTACATGTTCCAGTTCACCCACCCATGTGGTGGCTGAAACATAGGGGATTTGAGGAGCAAACTTGGAATTATTAGCAGTGAGGATGCTTGGTTTGCCTGAGGTGGTCACTGCACTCTGCCTAATGACATTCTTATTCTTATTCTAATTCTAATTCTAATTATTATTATTATTATTTTATATATCACCCGAAGAACACAGGGTGGTTTACAACATGTTGTTGTTGTTTAGTCGTTTAGTCGTGTCCGACTCTTTGTGACCCCATGGACCAGAACACTCCAGGCACTCCTGTCTTCCACTGCCTCCCGCAGTTTGGTCAAACTCATGCTGGTAGCTTCGAGAACACTATCCAACCATCTCATCCCCTGTTGTCCCCTTCTCCTTGTGCCCTCCAACTTTCTCAACATCAGGGTTTTTTCCAGGGAGTCTTCTCTTCTCTTTTTTTTTAAATATGATTTTTATTAACAAACCAATCAAATCACATTAGTTCCAAATTACACAGCCAAATTTTTGTTGGGGGTACCCATGCTTCGAGCTCAGAAAGGGATCCAAACATCTCTCTTGCTGCTGCTTTAATGATCACAGTTCTGTCCAGATAGTATTCACAGTTCTGTTCAATCTTCTCTTTATTATTTTCCTCATCTTCTTGTTGTTGTCATATATTCCTTTCTTTGTGATCTCTGATAGTCTCCACAAGCTGGTTGAAAACAAACGTTGTTATGTCCTGTGTGGATTTTATTCCTCCAAGAGCCATATTCAAACAGACAGACCCATTTCCGCACTTCCGTACAAAACATTCTTAAAGTCTTCCCGTTAATTCTCGCAGGTCTGTCAGTCTCTCCTCAATTTTCTCAGGGGGTACTGCCAGGTCAAACTCACAGTCCAATATAATAACAAACCATGGTCTCCTCCCCCTCGATCATAAATCCTGTAGCCAGACCTGCCCTAACAGTCTCTTTTTTATAAACTGCGTCACAAAGGCCTTTCATTCCTTTCCAGATATTCCACAAGCCATGCCTTTGATTAGTGATTTATTTCCACACAGTTCTTAATCATCCTGCTTGTTATCAGTAATTGCAACGATTCTTCTTGGGGGGAGGATTGTTAGGTACTTACATAAGATAAAAAAAGAAAAGTCCCCCCCCCTTTCAGTCCCGTTCCGACATACCGACCCTTTGATGTATCTTCTTCTTAATATGTTGTTGAATCCAGCCCGTCGCTCCACTTCACAGAGGTCACTTTAGTTAGCAGTCTTAACTCCCGATCTTCACTCGAAATATGTGCATTTGCTTCTCTCTAATTGTTTATTTTGAGCTCCTGCAACTAGGTCGCACGATCAGAGACAGCATCAGGGAGAGCTGTCCCACACAAGGGCTGTGCGCCTAGTGCCCTCACCCCCTTCTTTCGAATCCGGGGGTGATTTATGGCAACCACAGGCGAGGCAGTGTTCCCCATTCCCTTGGGGTAACAAGGGAGTCTTCTCTTCTCATGAGGTGGCCAAAGTATTGGAGCCTCAGCTTCACGATCTGTCCTTCCAGTGAGCACTCAGGGCTGATTTCCTTCAGAATGGATTGGTTTGATCTTCTTGCAGTCCATGGGACTCTCAAGAGTCTCCTCCAGCACCATAATTCAAAGGCCTCAATTCTTTGGCGATCAGCCTTCTATATGGTCCAGCTCTCACTTCCATACATCACTGCTGGGAAAATCATAGCTTTAACTATACGAATCTTTGTCGGCAAGGTGATGTCTCTGCTTTTTAAGATGCTGTCTAGGTTTGTCATCACTTTCCTCCCAAGAAGCAGGCGTCTTTTAATTTCGTGGCTGCTGTTACCATCTGCAGTGATCATGGAGCCCAAGAAAGTAAAATCTCTCACTGCCTCCATTTCTTCCCCTTCTATTTGCGGTTTACAACATAAAAACACCAAATACATCCCAGGCAGATCCCCTCCCCACTCCTCAATTTGTGGGTGCTGTATATGAGCAGTCGTCTGTGGCCCATGCCCAACACCAGATTTGCCTCGGTAAGCCTCAAACAGTGCCAGTTTACCAAATAGGCAGAGTAGGCACCGACCTCTGGCCCCCACACCTTTTAGGGGCCCTGCGACAACAGATCAAAATATTATTGGTGTGATATTGAAGGGAAATTACAATCTAGCCTTCTTCATTCAATGTGAGAGGGGGCCCTGATATTTCGACTGACTAGGGGCCTCCCACAGGGTTTAATCTGGCACGGGTCACGAAAGCCCACTGGAAATAGCAGCAGCAAACCTTGCGCTGATTTTAAGCAGTTTCCTTTGCCCCCTAACCCACAAAGCAGCTGTTTGTGGGTTTGGTTTACGTGACAACCCCAGAGCCATAGAAGAACACCCAGCTGGTAAAGTTGTGCATAAGATTTTATTGTGGCAATCGACTTTTATATGCGCCGAGAACTAACTCCCCTAACTGCCTAATTGGGTCCAATCGACACGTTATGGCATCCAAGTGATCTTTCCAACTTCCAAACACCCTGGATCTCGGAGACTTTGGTCTCTCGTTGGCACGAGGGCAAACAAGAAGAAGAAGAAGAGGAGGAGTTTGGATTTGATATCCCGCCTTTCACTCCCTTTAAGGAGTCTCAAAGCAGCTAACATTCTCCTTTCCCTTCCTTTCCCACAACAAACACTCTGTGAGGCGAGTGGGGCTGAGAGACTTCAAAGAAGTGTGACTGGCCCAAGGTCACCCAGCAGCTGCAGGTGGAGGAGCGGAGACGCGAACCCGGTTCCCCAGATTATGAGACTACCGCTCTTAACCACTACACCACACTGGCTCAAACAAACAAACAAACAAACAAACGTGATCAGGTGGGAAAGGAGCAGCGCTATGCTTCCTGTGAACAGATCGAAGCTCAGCAATCGACCTAGTCTTAGCTATAACCACTTTAGCTTCAGTTGGCCACCCGTTGAATAATTATGCGAAGAGACCTTCAAAGTGTGGAGCTGCCAAGATAATAATAATAATAATAATAATAATAATAATAATAATAATAATAAATTTTATTTATACCCCGCCCTCCCCAGCCTCAGGGCGGCTAACACCAGTAAAATTACAGTTGAATCATAATAGGGGAGAAAACACAATTTAAAATACAGGTTAAAATGCAATTTAAAATGCAGCCTCATTTTAAAAGTAGCCCATAGATCAAAACCATAAGGGGAGGGAAAACATAAGAATCAGACTGAGTCCAAACCAAAGGCCAGGCGGAACAGCTCTGTCTTGCAGGCCCTGCAGAAAAATGTCAAGTCCCGCAGGGCCCTAGTCTATTGTGACAGAGCGTTCCACCAAGTCAGGGCCAGTACTGAAAAGGCCCTGGCCCTAGTTGAGACCAATCTAACGACCTTGCGACCTGGGACCTCCAAAATGTTGTCATTTGTGGACCTTAAGGCAGTGTTTCCCAACCTTTTTTGGGTAAAGGCACACTTGTTTCATGAAAAAAATCTCGAGGCACACCACCATTAGAAAATGTTAAAAAATTTAACTCTGTGCCTATATTGACTATATAAAAAGTACAGAGGTGCCTCGCAAGACGAAATTAATTCGTTCCGCAAGTCTCTTCGTCTTGCGAGTTTTTCGTCTTGCGATGCACAGTTTCCCATAGGAATGCATTGAAAATCAATTAATGCGTTCCTAGGGAAACCGCCTTCAGACCAGGTCCGGGGACAGTCTGTCCCCCGACCTCTTCTGAAGGCTGGGGGGGGGGGACAAGGGCTTTTCTTCCCACTGCCAGCCTTCAGAAGGCTGTTCTGAAGGCTGGCGATGGGAAGAAAAGCCCTTCTTCCCACCTCCCGCCCCGCAAGCTCCGGGGACAGGAGGGCTTTGCTGCCAACCGCCAGCATTTTAAAAGCCCCTGCTGTCCCGGGGCGATTTTAAAATGCTGGCGGGCGGGAGCGAAGTCTCCGCTGCCCCGAGGAGATTTTAAAATGCTGGGGGTCGGCAGCGAACGCTTCGCTCCCGCCCGCCAGCATTTTAAGATCGCCCGGGGCAGCGGAGAAGTCTCCGCTGTCCCGGGAAGGCAGGCGGGGGGAGCAAAGACTTTTGCCCCCGCCTGCCTTCAGAAGAGGTCCAGGACCTCGTTCCGATGCCCGGCGGCGGGGTGCGAGGTTCCCGCCCCACCGCCCGGCATCGGGGCATCGTTCCGATGCCGGGCGACGGGGGGAGAGGTTCCCGCCCCACCGCCCAGCATCGGGGCATCGATGTACAGTTGTTATACATTGCCCGGCGGCGGGGTGCGGAGCAGCGTTCCGAAGCGGGGCGGCTGGGGCAGGTGTTCCCGCCCCCCCGCCCCGCTTCGGAGCACCGGGAGAAGCGATCTCCCTGCAGCCCCTTGCTTCAAAAGAGGTCCGGGGGCAGCGGGGAAGAAGCGCTGCGCTTCCCGCTGCCCCCGGACCTCTTTTGAAGCAAGGGGCGGTGGGGAGAAGCGATCTCGGGTGCCGCGGCGCGCAGGCGCACTGCTCGCTCCTCTTTCCGCGCAGGCGCCTTCTCTCGCTCTTTCGCCTCCTTTTCTTTCTCTCTCGATGGTCCGCCTACAAAGGAGCGAGGGAGGCGCCCGCCATGTTTGGATTTGCATCCAGCAGGAGATGCCGCCGCCGCCCCGCCTCTCCCGCCTCCCTCCCACGGCACGCCAGGCAAGGTCTCACGGCACACTAGTGTGCCGCGGAACACCGGTTGGGAAACACTGCCTTAAGGTCCTCCATGGGACATACTAGGAGAGGCAGTCCTGTAGGTACGTAGATGTGGGGAGGGGGATTGAATTTATGTATCAAGGTAGCCTGAGGTCCACATTCCCTTCCAGATTGTCCATGGCAGGTCAGAAGCAACTCACATGCGCACTACAACATACTCATAAGCCAACTTCTCTTGGCAGCCAGGAACATCATAGCCAGACACTGGAGGGACCCGTCAGGAGTAAACATGGACCACTGGTACCAAACCTTATGGGAAACAGCCCTACTAGAAAAATAAACCAGCAAACTGAAACTAGCATGGGGACAAATAAAAGAGGACATCTTCACCCCGGTGTGGCTCCCCTTTGTTACATACGCAGCCCAACAAGACGACAACAGGAACCCACCGACAGCATATGAATCAATATGACTAAATTGACCCAACAATTCTCACACACGCAAACAAAACTCACTGCTATAGTCAGCTATAGGCAACCAACTGTGCCCTGTGTCCCAATCTCTCTCTCCGCCAACAAAACTAATAAATGAATAGAAATAGGACCGACCCATGTGATGCTGACACAAAAACCTTATGTAGGGGATGCGGGTGGTGCTGTGGTCTAAACCACAGAGCCTAGGGCTTGCCTATCAGAAGGTCGGCAGATCGAATCCCCGCGATGGGGTGAGCTCCCATTGTTTGGTCCCTGCTCCTGCCCACCTAGCAGTTCGAAAGCACAAAGTGCAAGTAGATAAATAGGTACCGCTCCGGTGGGAAGGTAAACGGCGTTTCCATGCACTGCTCTGGTTCGCCAGAAGCGGCTTAGACATGCTGGCCACATGACCTGGAAGCTGTCTGCGGACAAACGCTGGCTCCCTCGGCCTATAGAGCGAGATGAGCACGCAACCCCAGAGTCGTCCACAACTGGACCTAATGGTCAGGGGTACCTTTACCTTTTTACACTTTGTAGAAGAACAAAAGTTTTCTGCCCTCCTTCTCTTCTCCTCCAACTTTAAATGGTCTATAGCATTAGCATCTCACATTGAATATGAATGATCTGTAGAAAACTCTATGAACTGAAAGCAGAGACGCCGTATGTGCTTTTGTAACCAAGAAAATATTTAATAGAAACAATTTTAAAAAAACAAATAAGTGAATTACTCGCACGGCATCCATGAAGTTAAGAGAATCAAATTTCTCCCCCACTCATAGCATGGAGAAGAGTTTTCTTTTTCTTTTTTCCAATATTTTTTTATTATTTTCTTTACACAGTCATTACAATACATTAATCAACATATAACCCTTTTTGATCTGCCGACCTTGCGACTTCCCTTCAGCTGGTATCCCTTGTCAAGGAGAAGAGTTTTCTCCACCAAAAATTACGTTGGAGGGAGGGAAGGAGAATGTCTTTTCTTTCATGTTTTTTCTTCAAATGCTCTTCTGGATTTTAACCCCGATTGTCCTAATGGTGTTCTTCATACCCTCATCACTCCCCATCGTTGTCTCTTCTAACCTGAGAGTTAGATTCAAGATCATATTGATTCAGGGCCACACACCCGGCCCCTCAATCACTCGCTCAGTTAGCTGTAATGAAATATTTGGGATATGCACAGAATTGTACGTTCAGGAGCTGCGTTCCTGAAATGACTCTGTTGACGTGAGCAGCTCGGTGTCCCACAAACTCAGTGGAAAACTACAGCTTGGGGCCTCCGTTGGGCAAATGGGTTTTTTGGCATTGAGACCAGTCACCTCCAGCTTCCATGGAGGGGAGACGTATTATGTGAGATTAACAGGTTATTAGAAATATTTTTTATTCTTATCTCCGCAAGAGACTTCAGAAAGCGTGTGCCAGCAGCGTCATTTAGTGGAACGCTCCCCTGTGACTTAGCCAAAGCAGTAATGAGTTTTCTGCTGTCAAGCTGAAGCAGACTCATGCGTCGGGCATTTAATTTCATTTAAAAGGGGGCCTTTGTTTCGGCGGCCGGCTCATCACAGTTCAGATTCATAACATTCACTGCCTGACATTAGCTGCTTGTTTGAAAGGAAGGAAGGGCGCATACCAGCTCAGGGGTCGAGAGTTCAGCTCACAAAAGACCAGTTTATATGTCCCTGGAACAGAAGCAAACTTCATTCAACTGGAGGGGGAGCAGTAACCTCCCGTTAGCAGATAGAGTCATGTCTTAAGATGGGAGCTCCCTGTTGATGGCTAGCTTTCCACTCTGTGCAGGTGGCTGAGATGCCCAATTCTCCTTTCAGGAGAAGGAGGAATTTAATGAATGGAATGTCCTTGCAGAATCCTCACCACAGAGATGGGGACCCTGCAGCCCTCCAGACCAGGGCCGGCCCACCAGTTAGGCAAGGTGACACAGCCACCTCAGGCGGCAGGATCCACCAGGGTGGCAGATCACTTCTTTCCCCTTTGTTCCTGATACTGTTATGTATTGGGTTTAACACATCTTATGTTACAAGGCGTGTTCTAACCAATCGTATAAGCGTTGGTAGTCAAACGTTCCAATGGCAAGTAAGCGCATGCATTTTCAACCATCAACGGTCAGTTCATGCACGGTTTATTATTGCGTTGTCCAGTCAGTTCAGCTCTTGTTTTCCTATGAGTGAGCTGTTGTCACTGACATATGTTGAATAAACTTAGCTGAGGAACTTACACTGCCTTGGGCTTCTGACTTTTCCCGAACATTTAACATTTTGTGATCTGCCCCAAGTGCCAAAACGTCTTGGGACAGCCCTGCTCCAGATGTTGCTGGACACCAACTCCCATCAACCCCAGGGGTGAAAGGGGCTGAAGATCAGCAGCATCTGGAAGTCACAGTGTCCGTCACCCAGGAGGGCTGACACGGGGAGGCCAGTATTTCTGGGTTCCTCAGGTAGCAAGGCAGCATAGATGGTGCCTTGAGCAACAGTGGCCGACTCTGGGGTTGTGGCGCTCATCTCGCTTTATTGGCCGAGGGAGCCGGTGTACAGCTTCCGGGTCACATGGCCAGCATGACTAAGCTGCTTCTGGTAAACCAGAGCAGCACACGGAAATGCGGGAAGGTAAACGGTGTTTCCATGTACTGCTCTGGTTTGCCAAAAGCGGCTTAGTCATGCTGGCCACGTGACCCGGAAGCTGTACGCTGGCTCCCTTGGCCAGTAAAGCGAGATGAGCACAGCAACCCCAGAGTCGGCCACGACTGGACCTAATGGTCAGGGGTCCCTTTACCTTTACCTTTATGGTGGGAGACTGGATTCTGGGCAATTGGTGGTCCTTATTAATATGGGGGCATTTGTATGGAAGACCATTATCATACAACCTTGAAACCTGATATATCTTTTCCCAATACCTGTTCCACAGATTTTGCAGTCCGTCCCAGTGGGAGTTGGGCAGGTGTATGGCTGCGATAACCCTTGGACTGGAGGCATTATCATGGTGGCTCTGTTCATTTCCTCCCCACTCATCTTCATCCATGCCGTGATTGGCTCAGCACTGGGGGTGCCTGCAGGTATGAGAATGCCCTAGGCAGCCGGAACTGGCTTAAACCATTATCCTAAGTACTCCATCCTATAGATATCCTGCCAAACTGGGGTTACAACTGTTAGTATCTGGTTAGCTTGCCAGATAAAACCAACGAACCATGCTTGGGGTCTAAAGAGGGAAGAAGAAGCGTTGGATTTGATATCCCGCCTTTCACTCCCCTTCAGGAGTCTCAAAGCGGCTGACAATCTCCTTTCCCTTCCTCCCCCACAACAAACACTCTGTGAGGTGAGTGGGGCTGAGAGACTTCAGAGAAGTGTGACTAGCTCAAGGTCACCCAGCAGTGGCATGTGGAAGAGCGGGGAATCGAACCCAGTTCACCAGATTATGAGTCTACTGCTCTTAACCACTACACCACACTTGCCTCTAGGTGAAATGAAGGGGGGTGGCCACAGATACACTTGCATGTCAAATTCCATCTTGAGATCCTAGGGTAGAGATTGTGTGGACCTAATCAAATAATAATAATAATAATAATAATAATAATAATAATAATAATAACAATAAATTTATTATTTATACCCCAGCCACTCTGGGTGGCTTCCAACAGAACATTAAAATACAATAACCTATTAAACATTAAAAGCTTCCCTAAACAGGGCTGCCTTCAGATGTCTTCTAAAAGTCTGGTAGTTGTTGTTCTCTTTGACATCTGCTGGGAGGGCGTTCCACAGGGCGGGTGCCACTACCAAGAAGGCCCTCTGCCTGGTTCCCTGTAACTTGGCTTCTCGCAGCGAGGGAACCACCAGAAGGCTCTCGGCGCTGGACCTCAGTGTCCGGGCTGAACAGTGGGGATGGAGACACTCCTTCAGGTATACTGGACCAAGGCCATTTAGGGCGTTAAAGGTCAGCACCAACACTTTGAATTGTGCTCAGAAACGTACTGAGAGCCAGTGTAGGTCTTTCAAGACCAGTGTTATGTGGTCTTGGCAGCTGCTCCCAGTCACCAGTCTAGCTGCTGCATTCTGGATTAGTTGTAGTTTCCGGGTCACCTTCAAAGGTAGCCCCATGTAGAGCGCATAGCAAGTGGTCCAAGAGAGAGTGTAGGTCTTTCAAGACTGGTGTTATATGGTCTCGGCAGCTGCTCCTATTATTTCCTAGGTATCAAGGCTGGGGAACACTTGGCCCTCCAGATGTGGCAGGACACCATCTCCCATCAGATGGGCCAAATTTTAGTTCAGCAACATCTGGAGGGCCAAAGGCGCCTCGCCCTGCCTTCAGCCCAGGAGTGACGTGTCTTCTTCTCACCTGTCTTCTTTGCAGCCCTGAGCCTAGCCACACCTTTCAACAATATTTACGCCGGCTTGTGGAATTACAACAGTTGCCTGTCCTGCATCGCAATCGGGGGCATGTTCTACGCCCTCACCTGGCAGACCTTCCTTCTTGCACTTGCTTGTGGTAGGTGCCCAGTTTCATCCCTATTGTGCTCGCACAACCCATAGGAAACTGTCAGAGGATTTGTCCCTGTTGCCAAGTATTGCCTCCTCTGGTTGGTAGCATCTCTCCAGAGTCTCAAGCACAGAGAGCTTATTTCCCATGACTTCCTCCCTGAAGATGCCAGGGATTGAACTCGGGGGATTTCTCTTGGGTTTTAAAAAATATACATTGACTTAGTTTACAGCAGAATTTAAAGCTTGGAAGCTGGGTCTAGCCATTTCCTCTGCCACCCATTCTGTCTCATTCTCACATCATTAGCATTACTTAAGTTTTAAAAAAGGAAAATAGAGGGGTCCCGGACGTGGGTGGCACTGTGGGAAAAACCTCAGTGCCTAGGACTTGCCGATCGTCAGGTCGGCGGTTCAAATCCCCGCAGCGGGGTGAGCTCCCGTTGCTCGGTCCCAGCGCCTGCCAACCTAGCAGTTCGAAAGCACATCAAAGTGCAAGTAGATAAATAGGGACCGCTTACTAGCGGGAAGGTAAACGGCGTTTCCGTGCGCTGCACTGGCTCGCCAGATGCAGCTTGTCACACTGGCCACGTGACCCGGAAGTGTCTTTGGACAGCGCTGGCCCCCGGCCTCCTAAGCGAGATGGGCGCGCAACCCCAGAGTTGGACACGACTGGCCCGTATGGGCAGGGGTACCTTTACCTTTACCTTTATTAGAATAGAAAAATAAGTTGTATAGTGAGTTCCCACCACCCCCACCCAGTGGAAATAAAGACACATGACACAATTATTAAGGTTAATGGGCTAAATAAGGCCACAACTTTATTGTTTACAGGTGATGAGCGGTATTGGCTTAGGCACTGGTCCTAAACCGACTATATCTGACACCAGCCTGTCTGCTGGAAGTCCAGGAAGGGTTAACCACCAGTAGGGAGAGTCCTGCTGATGCACATCAACTAGGAACTCCCCTGGGGTCACCGCTTGGGGGTGTGCCTTAGGCCCTCACCTCCATAAGGCTTCGGACAGGGCCACGCCCCCCGGAATCCTTTATCGGACTACCCTTCAATATGTGGGGCAGGTGATGACGCTACCTCCCCTCTTCCATCTACAGAACAATACCAATACCTAACCGCCAATACCAAGAAAGTTGTGGTGCTTTGCTACGAGGTAGGCAAAAACCAAGTGGCTGGTGCCAATTTGCCAAGTGGAAAATTCCTACCAGGCCCCTCAACGGTGACCAACCAAGGTCCATAGCAAGGTCAAGGAATGAAAACTTTACAAGGCGGGCGGGTGGGAAAAACAGAAACAGCTGGCAGGCAGCAAAGAGGGAGATCCCCAGCCGCTCCTGGTTTAAATAGGGCAGGCCACGCCCCCAAGCTAGCCGATTGGCTGGCCAGGAGGTGACGTGGCAGGAATCTCTCCAATCATGTGGGGCTGGGGCCTTGAAGCCCGCAACTCCACCTCCTATATAGTTTATACAGAACCTTGAAGAGTATGAAATAAATGAAATATGCACTCTCTGCGAAAACCAAATAAACAGAAATCTTACAAATCTCTGAAAGTCACAAAATATGCACTCTTGAAAACAGACTATGTTTATTTGGTTCTATGTTTTCAAGAGAATCCATCAAGAGTGCATATTTTGTGACTTTCAGAGATTTGTAAGATTTCTGTTTATTTGGTTTCGCAGAGAGTGCATATTTCATTTATTTCATACTCTTCAAGGTTCTGTATAAACTATATAGGAGGTGGAGTTGCGGGCTTCAAGGCCCCAGCCCCCACATGATTGGAGAGATTCCCTGCCACGTCACCTCCTGGCCAGCCAATCGGCTAGCTTGGGGGGCGTGGCCTGCCCTATTTAAACCAGGACGCGGCTGGGGATCTCCCTCTTGCTGCCTGCCAGCTGTTTCTGTTTTTCCCACCCGCCCGCCTTGTAAAGTTTTCATTCCTTGACCTTGCTATGGACCTTGGTTGGTCACCGTTGAGGGCCTGGTAGGAATTTTCCCACTTGGCAAATTGGCACCAGCCACTTGGTTTTGCCTACCTCGTAGCAAAGCACCACAACTTTCTTGGTATTGGCGGTTAGGTATTGGTATTGTTCTGTAGATGGAAGAGGGGAGGTAGCGTCATCACCTGCCCCACATATTGAAGGGTAGTCCGATAAAGGATTCCGGGGGGCGTGGCCCTGTCCGAAGCCTATGGAGGTGAGGGCCTAAGGCACACCCCCCAAGCGTGACCCCAGGGGAGTTCCTAGTTGATGTGCATCAGCAGGACTCTCCTACTGGTGGTTAACCCTTCCTGGACTTCCAGCAGACAGGCTGGTGTCAGATATAGTCGGTTAGGACCAGTGCCTAAGCCAATACCGCTCATCACCTGTAAACAATAAAGTTGTGGCCTTATTTAGCCCATTAACCTTAATAATTGTGTCATGTGTCTTTATTTCCACTGGGTGGTGGTGGAACTCACTATACAACTTATTTTTCTATTCTAATAAAGGTAAAGGTAAAGGTACCCCTGCCCATACGGGCCAGTCGTGTCCAACTCTGGGGTTGCGCGCCCATCTCGCTTAGGAGGCCGGGGGCCAGCGCTGTCCAAAGACACTTCCGGGTCACGTGGCCAGTGTGACAAGCTGCATCTGGCGAGCCAGTGCAGCGCACGGAAACGCCGTTTACCTTCCCGCTAGTAAGCGGTCCCTATTTATCTACTTGCACTTTGATGTGCTTTCGAACTGCTAGGTTGGCAGGCGCTGGGACCGAGCAACGGGAGCTCACCCCGCTGCGGGGATTTGAACCGCCGACCTGACGATCGGCAAGTCCTAGGCACTGAGGTTTTTCCCACAGTGCCACCCACGTCCGGGACCCCTCTATTTTCCTTTTTTAAAACTTAAGTAATGCTAATGATGTGAGAATGAGACAGAATGGGTGGCAGAGGAAATGGCTAGACCCAGCTTCCAAGCTTTAAATTCTGCTGTAAACTAAGTCAATGTATATTTTTTAAAACCCAAGAGAAATCCCCCGAGTTCAATCCCTGGCATCTTCAGGGAGGAAGTCATGGGAAATAAGCTCTCTGTGCTTGAGACTCTGGAGAGATGCTACCAACCAGAGGAGGCAATACTTGGCAACAGGGACAAATCCTCTGACAGTTTCCTATGGGTTGTGCGAGCACAATAGGGATGAAACTGGGCACCTACCACAAGCAAGTGCAAGAAGGAAGGTCTGCCAGGTGAGGGCGTAGAACATGCCCCCGATTGCGATGCAGGACAGGCAACTGTTGTAATTCCACAAGCCGGCGTAAATATTGTTGAAAGGTGTGGCTAGGCTCAGGGCTGCAAAGAAGACAGGTGAGAAGAAGACACGTCACTCCTGGGCTGAAGGCAGGGCGAGGCGCCTTTGGCCCTCCAGATGTTGCTGAACTAAAATTTGGCCCATCTGATGGGAGATGGTGTCCTGCCACATCTGGAGGGCCAAGTGTTCCCCAGCCTTGATACCTAGGAATAATAGGAGCAGCTGCCGAGACCATATAACACCAGTCTTGAAAGACCTACACTCTCTCTTGGACCACTTGCTATGCGCTCTACATGGGGCTACCTTTGAAGGTGACCCGGAAACTACAACTAATCCAGAATGCAGCAGCTAGACTGGTGACTGGGAGCAGCTGCCAAGACCACATAACACTGGTCTTGAAAGACCTACACTGGCTCTCAGTACGTTTCTGAGCACAATTCAAAGTGTTGGTGCTGACCTTTAACGCCCTAAATGGCCTTGGTCCAGTATACCTGAAGGAGTGTCTCCATCCCACTGTTCAGCCCGGACACTGAGGTCCAGCGCCGAGAGCCTTCTGGTGGTTCCCTCGCTGCGAGAAGCCAAGTTACAGGGAACCAGGCAGAGGGCCTTCTTGGTAGTGGCACCCGCCCTGTGGAACGCCCTCCCAGCAGATGTCAAAGAGAACAACAACTACCAGACTTTTAGAAGACATCTGAAGGCAGCCCTGTTTAGGGAAGCTTTTAATGTTTAATAGGTTATTGTATTTTAATGTTCTGTTGGAAGCCACCCAGAGTGGCTGGGGTATAAATAATAAATTTATTGTTATTATATTATTATTATTATTATTATTATTATTATTATTATTATTTGATTAGGTCCACACAATCTCTACCCTAGGATCTCAAGATGGAATTGACATGCAAGTGTATCTGTGGCCACCCCCCTTCATTTCACCTAGAGGCAAGTGTGGTGTAGTGGTTAAGAGCAGTAGACTCATAATCTGGTGAACTGGGTTCGATTCCCCGCTCTTCCACATGCCACTGCTGGTGACCTTGAGCTAGTCACACTTCTCTGAAGTCTCTCAGCCCCACTCACCTCACAGAGTGTTTGTTGTGGGGAGGAAGGGAAAGGAGATTGTCAGCCGCTTTGAGACTCCTGAAGGGGAGTGAAAGGCGGGATATCAAATCCAACGCTTCTTCTTCCCTCTTTAGACCCCAAGCATGGTTCGTTGGTTTTATCTGGCAAGCTAACCAGATACTAACAGTTGTAACCCAGTTTGGCAGGATATCTATAGGATGGAGTACTTAGGATAATGGTTTAAGCCAGTTCCGGCTGCCTAGGGCATTCTCATACCTGCAGGCACCCCCAGTGCTGAGCCAATCACGGCATGGATGAAGATGAGTGGGGAGGAAATGAACAGAGCCACCATGATAATGCCTCCAGTCCAAGGGTTATCGCAGCCATACACCTGCCCAACTCCCACTGGGACGGACTGCAAAATCTGTGGAACAGGTATTGGGAAAAGATATATCAGGTTTCAAGGTTGTATGATAATGGTCTTCCATACAAATGCCCCCATATTAATAAGGACCACCAATTGCCCAGAATCCAGTCTCCCACCATAAAGGTAAAGGTAAAGGGACCCCTGACCATTAGGTCCAGTCGTGGCCGACTCTGGGGTTGCTGTGCTCATCTCGCTTTACTGGCCAAGGGAGCCAGCGTACAGCTTCCGGGTCACGTGGCCAGCATGACTAAGCCGCTTTTGGCAAACCAGAGCAGTACATGGAAACACCGTTTACCTTCCCGCATTTCCGTGTGCTGCTCTGGTTTACCAGAAGCAGCTTAGTCATGCTGGCCATGTGACCCGGAAGCTGTACACCGGCTCCCTCGGCCAATAAAGCGAGATGAGCCACAACCCCAG